TTTTTTGAGGCAGTCTCACTATGTCGCCTTGAGTAGATTACTGTGGCATCACAGCTCACAGCAATCTCAAGCTCTTGGGCTTAAGCGATTTTCTTGTCTCAGCCTCCCAAGTAGCTGGGATTACAGGTGCCTGCCACAACGCCCAGCTATTTTTTTTAGAGGGGGTTTGAGGGGGTTGGAGTTATCATTGTTGTTTGGCAGGCCCAGGCTGGATTCAAACCCGCCAGCTCCGGTGTATGTGGCTGGTGCCCTAGTTGCTGAGCTGCAGGCGCCAAGCCAAGGGTCGAGTATATTTAAAAACAGTTTTGTTAACTGTAAAGTGGAATAAGCCCCATGCTAGGGTGAGATGATGACCCAAGTTCGAACCCTCAGTGTACCATGTCAAGAAAGTCAGTTTCTTTATCTACAAATTGCTATTTATGTCACGTCCATGTCCTCTTGTTTTGAATATCAAATGAAATAATGAATGAGAAAATGGTCAGTGAACTTTAACCTTTTGACTGCTAACGATGCCTGTAGGCATTCAGACAAGATGTTCCCCTTTGGTGCAAATGGCCCCTGGAGCAGGTTTGTTCCTAAGCCCCAAAGGGTTAATGGTCACAAAAATGTTAGATGATGTTCTTTCTAGAAGTATATTTTGAAGAGTTTGTACAAAGAGAATAATAGTAATACAAATTAACATTTATTGCATTCTTACTTTGCATCTGGCAGTATTCAAAGTGCCTTAAATATATATATTAATTTACATAATTCTCATAATATTTCCATAAGGTAGATACTCTTATTAGCCCTATTTTGAAAACTAAAGTACAGAAAGGTTAAATAACTTATCAAAGTCCTCTCACTAACTGATGTTATTAAAATTCAAACCCAAGTAATCCTACATCTCACTTCTAAGAAAGCATATTATTAAATGAAAACAGAAAGTTTATTTATTCCAACCTAATATGTATGTACACAGAAATGGGAAAAGGAAAAGAAGTATTTATTGAATCAACAATTACAGTTGTAAAAAGCAAGACAGAGGCACAGTACACTTAAATTTTCTGTGAAAAACTAGCAAAAGGGCAAGGAATAAGGAAAGTCTTTGAAGATACTGAGGAAATGAGATCTACACTTGAAGTGACTGATTTAACAGTTAACCAGTAAATACTTAGAATTGTTTTATGATTGAAGGAAGACTCCAGAGTCATACAGTTTTTATATTTAATTACAGCTATATTTGCCTTAAGGAACTTAACCTCTAAGCCTTAGTCGCCTCATCTATAAATGGAAACCCCCTTCGTGTTTGTCAGGATTTTCCCCCTGATAAAATGAGGTGCAATCAGAAATGTTAGAGAATGCTCCTAACACTAGGTATGTCTTATTTTAGAGCATGAGCTATAAACTAATGGACTGCTCTTTCAGAATAATTATCTTAATAGTTAAAACAAATTGTTAAACTTTACTTTAATCCCAATTTCCTTTTTTATTTTCCCCAGCAATGTGGAGTGGCCTCTTCACTCACTTGACACAATCTTGGAACAACTTTAAGGGTCTAGATCCAAATTTTACAACATGGATGGATGTCATGGAGAAGCATGGTTACCGCACACAAAAATTTGGAAAACTGGACTATACTTCAGGACATCACTCCATAAGGTAAAAAAATTTTCAAAGTAACCCTAATAGGTGCCTTCTGTGTAGCATGCACACGTGGTCTCCTTTCTGTCCCCTTAGGTACCTTTTGTTTTATCTTTGAGGAGGATAAGCGTACTTAACATAAGATCTCTACTCTTAACAAATTTTGAAGTGAATAATACAGAATTGCTTCATGTAGGCACTATACTGTACGGCAGTCTTCAGGATTAGTACATCTTGTATAACCAAGTCTTTTATTAACTTGATATTTACTACACATTTTCCTCTTCTTCCCCTACTGGCAACCATTGTTCTATCTTTGGCTTTTATGATTTTGAATATTTCTTTGGACTTTTTTTTATTTCTCCACAAAGATGAAAGTGAATCTTTTAATCTCTTGATTATTTTAATTAGGCTAAAACTTTAGCTTTGTTTAATCTTCTTAAAATATTAAAATTGCAAATATGCTGGAAATTGTGTTTTTCTTAAATGGTGAAGGTCTATATAGAGAGTTTGTAAAACTGGTTGCCCTCTTGTCCCCCTTATTTTATTTTGATAGAGTTTCCATGACACATACAACAGCTGTATCTCACACCACAGCTTTCTTGCTTCTTGCCTTTGTCAGTTCTTTCCAATTTAAGTCTTTTGTGACACTGTTAAGTGTCCGTTCTCATCTGTAAATTGGAATTAACCTCTACCTCATATGATGGTTGTGTGTTTTATATGCATTAAAAGAAAAGACACTATGAACGGATGAAATGAGATAATATAAAATATTTCACAATATGTATCAAAGAGTAAGTGTTCACTCATTAGAAAAGATTATTATCATAAAAATGACTTAACCAGACTTGTAGGTTAACGTTTACATAACTCATTTTTCTAAAGTACTTCGCACTACTAGTAATTATTTTATGGAATTTCACAATTTTGTCCTTAAAATCTTTCTCCTTTTTTAGAAAGACAGATTAATAGAAAAATGCAACTATTTACATTATCCAATTACCTAAAATTCTTTCCTTCTTTGTTTCTTTAGTCAATCCAGTAATAAAATGATCCTAAGGTTGAATGTCATGTGTTTTCTGTGACTTTTATTCTCCATGTGAAATGGTTGAAATGTGACCTTTTATTCCTCAGCAGGGCAATGATTCATAGAGGGCAAAGACCTTGTGTCTTTCCACTGCTCTCCTCCCATTCACCAGCATAGTGCTAGTACATTGTAGGTGCACAGTTAAACGTCTGATGGGTCAGTGAATGAAAGAAAAAGCTATATTTATCTACCTATAGCTTATCATTTGATAACATTGATGATTTATTTAACCCAGGCTCATAGCACTTGTTCATTACTAGTATTTTGTATATATCCTCAACTAGTAGAATATGCACTATTTTTTAAGTTTTTTTGATGTTTTAAATATTCTTAATTTTCTGAAGTTCTTTCTTTTTCACTTGGAATTCTAAAAACAGTAGAGGAAAAGAACCATTTAGATGTTGACATTTGGGATGGCAAAGGTGATGTTCAGTATAGTAATTGTTTACAGCACATTTTCATTTACTTATCTTCTCATCAAAGCCTAGGACATTGAAATAAGCTACCGCAAGTATTTGTGTGAATGACATATGTACCCACACAGATGTTTGGCTGACAAATAGATTAGGGTTGCTGTTAGTAGCATATCTGAGAAGCTTACATGAGTTATGACACATTATCTTTCAGATTTTTCTTTGCAAATTTAAAAATTGGTCTCTGGGGAAAAAAAGGCCCAGGTGCCTATAGTCCCAGTGCCTGTACTCCAGAGCAGTCACTTTCAACAAGTGTGCCATGGGAGGATCTTAGGTATGCCTCAAAAATTTTTTTAAGTCATTAATTAAATTATTTTTCAAAGAAGTTCAAAGTACACAGTGATAATTTTTTTTTCCCTTTTTTTGATCAACATAGTTTAAGTGTGCCATGGAACCTTAACTATAGGTTCAGGTGTGCCATAAGATAAAACAGGTTGAAAAACACTGCTGTAAAGGCTGAGGCAAATGAATTACTCAAGACCAGTTCAGGACCAGCCTAGACAATATATGAGTAGTGAGATGCCATATCTTAAAAAAGAAAATATCAAGTTTCACAAATAGGAGCATCAGTGTTGTTAATAGATAGACTCTCAAAATCAAAACTCAGGTTTTTATAACTCTTTACCGCTAAAGTTGGCTATTTTTTAACCTGCTTATGTTTTCAGCCAGAATTGCAAGTTTTAGTTTATTACTACGATACTTCTATCTGTCTTTTTTAGGCATCAGCTGTACTATCTCCTTGTACCAGCTTAGGAACACTACTCCAACTAATTGTCCTTACTTTATATAATACCCTGCACCATACTGGGAACTCTACAGGATGCACGCTTGTTTTACCAGACAGTTGTTAAACAGACATTGGTAGTACTACTCATAAAAGTGCCACTTACTAACAATTAAACCTTGGAAGGTTACTTATCTACTTAGGATCCCAGTTTCGGCACATGAGCTTACACTAGACCTTAAAAGTTCCACTCTGAAATTCTATAACTTCAGTGGAGTGGTTTATAAATTCCTAATATTCATCTGTCCTTCATATTACATATATTGTGCTTGTAATATGTTAAAGTTTATATTTGCTGTGTTTTCTGATCAACAGAAAGAAATGTATTTAATTCATAGGGTATTTTGATTATTTTTGCTTTTAGGTAAAACTTTTTTGCCAGTATATTTTCAGTATCTAAAGTGGTAGTTCCCAACTTAGGGAAGTTTTGGCCCTCCCTCTAGCTCCGAAAAGAACGTTTGACAGTGTCTAGAGATATTTTGGGTTAATAAGCTGGGAGTATTCTCCTGGCATCTAGTGGGGTAGAGATCAGGGTTGCTGCTAAAGAGTCTACAATTAACAGGACAACCACCTCTCACAAAAGAATCAAGCCTAAACTATCTAAAGTACAGAAATTGAGAAACCATATCTACAATTGGGTATTATTACACTTACCAACATGGTCTTCAGAATGTCACACTTAATACAAGTAATTGACTGCATTTTAGATCTTAAGTTTAGTCATCCGTATTCTAAGGGATCAGATCCACTTGACAGAAGTATGTCAATTGTTTTGCAATTAACAAAACCAAAGAAAATATTAATTTACAAGTATATAGAATTTGGAGGTAATTGATTTTATATAAAACATTAATAGATTAAAATAAAGAAATTTAACGTTAAGTAGTATTCTTTAAAATACTGTTAAAAGATGATCCTTATTTAACTTATGAAAGCAAAATAGCTATGTTTAATATCTATTCAGCTAATGTTTATTGAACCACCTACTATGATAACAGGAGGATGGGTGATTAAGTTCACAAACTCATCCTAGAAAAGTGCTACATACCTTCAGAGCAGTTTTGGAACTCTTCCTGCAATGGCCATCAGAGCTTTCATCAGATGCAGTCTGACAGTTAAGTTTGGGAATTCATCCTAGAAAATGTTCTCTGAAAAGTGGGCTAGGGGCTGGCATCAGTGCATAGTTTCTTAAGGGAAGGACTTCACAGGTGACCATAGTGATACTCAGCAATGAAGTATGTAGCACTTTTCCTAGGGTGAGTTCACAAACTTAATTGACCTCATATGGGCTAAACGCTAGTTTTAAATGATATGAATATAGTGGTAATCAAAACACAAAATAAGCACTTGCTCCCACCTTCGAAAGATTGGGGATTATGCAGGGCAGAGAAGATGTGAGCATAATGTAAGAACTTGCATGTAGTGGAAAGAAATTTGGATTATCATCTAAGAATAGGGGCTTGTACTTAGACTAGCCTCAAATTATAGAACTGGGGAGTAACTCTGAATCCAGTGTAGCATTTTACCTCAGTAGTGGCCTTTGGGGGCACGTATTCTAGTTCTCTTGATTAGCTGCCTCATGACTTATCTCTTCTCTACTCTTGGTCTTTTTCTTAACTACATCACTTCTAACCACAACAGATCTACTCAAGCTTCATTTCTTTTCTTTACCTTAAAGCTGCTTCTGGATTACGGCCAGTGATTGGATTATGTTTTCTTTCTAAATTCAAATTCTGTTTATAAGGATGGTAGGCCCAACTCATATTTCATATGAGACCCCATCTTAATTGCTGTCCATGTTAAGGATGAAAGAACATAATCCTTACATTAGGTGCTCACACCTGACCAGTTAACAGGCGAAAAGAAGAGTTAAATCCTAAAGCCACCTAGGTCACCCCTTCAGCGAGAGCTATGGACCAGCTGCCATGTCTTTCACATTTACTACTTGGTAAATTCTATTAATGACAGATTTACTGGGAATAATCCACCCACTTTGTCTTTTCAGTTTTGATAGCATTTTATCCAGGTTATATTTTCTATATATTATAAAACAAAACTTTATAGAAATTTAAAATGCTATAATCATGTTGATATGTTAAATTGCTTTAAAAGTGGAAGAAAACTATTCTTCTTTATGTAAAAATGAGTATATGTAATCCTAGCACTCTGGGAAGCTGAGGCAGGTGGATTGCTTGAGCTCAAGAGTCCAAGACCAGCCTGAGCAACAGTGAGAGCCCATCTCTACTAAAAATAGAAAAGTTAGCTGGGTGTTGTGGTGAGTGCGTGTAGTCCTAGCTACTCAGGAGGCTTAGGCAGGAGGATCACGTGAGCTCATGGGTTTGAGGTTGCTTTGAGGTAGGCTGAGGCCATGGCACTCTAGCCCAGGCAACAGAATGAGACTCTATCTCAAAAACATTAAAAAATAAAAGTGAATGTGATCTAAACTATATAAATGTTATAGTTATAGCTGAACTATTTTATTACAGTTGCTTTTTCCACAGGTAGCATTTGGCCTTCCTTTTAAAAAGTATACTAGTAGAAGGTTGTACGTCTGAGTGGATGTGAGCTGGAAGTAACATTTTGTTAGCTGAACAAGGCGCAGCAAGCACCTGCCTGGCACAGTGGCTCACATGTGCTAGGCATTCATTACATTTTCTTTTAATTGAATCAAAAAGGCTGCCTGTTTCAGACCAAATAACAGGAAACGTGTACTCTGTCAGGTATACATACAAAACAAACAAAAAAAAAACCCTTTGTTTGAAATGTAATTACTATTATTATCATCATTATTTTATAACCATATAATTAGTTACGTGATTAGTATATTATTATTACTGTTTAGTGGAGAAAAATCCATGATTTTCCTCATATTTACAAAGAAATCTATGAAAAAATAATTAAAAAGCACCAGCTACTATAATTTGACCAAAAAAGAAAGCGATTGGAATTAATAAAAGAAAGCACTGGAAAACATGTATATATTGAGCATTTAAAGACTATGTATTGAAATTGATGCTCCAGTCTGAATTTGCCAGACTTGGTATGAGTCATTCAGTTAAAAGACAGTTTTTATGAGTGATGGTATATAAGGAAAGTAGATGACAGCCTTGCAAATTCTTTCAAAACTGGTATGTGTGTTTCTCACAACTTTGAGAGAAGAGCATTTAACAGGAATGGGAATGGAGTCCTTTTTCTCTTACAAAATTCATTAAGCTGATATAAAAATTTCCATGGGCCTTTTTCAAAATTGACATTTTCCCATGCAAGAGAGTTATTGGAAGCACATTAGCTGCTACAATCCCATCAATAACAATGAGAGAGAAAGCAAGAGAGGTATTTTCACAGAACGCTTGAAGTCTGAGAGAGTTGCCTTCCATAGAATCTCAGGAAGCTGAAGCGTTTAGTGTAGGTTCCTTCTTCATGTTCAGAGAACAGTCTTGCTGGCATCATCAGTTTTTCTGTGTGGTATTTTTTCAGATGTGATTGTTGTTGTGTAAACTAATTCTGTGCTACCTGTGAACTGGTTTGTCCAATGTCACAGCAGTAGAATTTGGGTTGCTGGCACAGAAAGCCCACACAGCAATGGCAGATGTATAAACTTAAACAATAATTCATTGGTAATGTGTTAAACAGCTTTATTTTTCACTTGTATTAGGGAGGAGTGTTTTTGTCGTTAAAAAGAACCAATTAAACACTGATTGTTGAGTAGTATGTTTGGCTATCACCCTGTGTTCTGGAATTGAAACAAAGTAAAATAATTCTTCTATTTATAGGCTACTATGGAAACTCCGTCTTGATTATCCTGTCTAAAAATTGAGAATTTTTGTAGAAAAGAATTCTCAACACTATTATTTAGAACAGTAAATATCGAACTTTGATATTCATACAAATCACTTGGTCATTTTGTTAAATGCCTGTTCTGGTTCAGGGAGTTTCCGATGCTGCTGGTCCCCAGACCACACTTGGTGTAGCAGGTGTGTAAAGAACAGGACCTCAGGTGGAGGTAGGACAAGGCGTGCCACTAACCAGTTGTGAACATCTTTCCAGAAATATGTGGTTATTATTTGTGTCCCTTTGGGAAGAAAAGCCCCTCTTACATTTCTACAAAGAGTCGGAGTAGAATTGGGTTACTTAGAAGGAGCGGGACAAAATGACACACTGAAGCTTCTCTGAGTGTGCAGGGAACAGTCTCCTCTGAGGTGGGTATACTACACGTTGAATCTCCCACTTGAGGATAAGTTAGTCTCCTTCACCTTGGGTACACTAATGAGAGAATGAGAATGAAAAATGCAAATTTACATCTTACTGTTGTTATGGTAATCGTTTTGACCTCACAGACTTAATGAAAGTATCTTGGGGCTCCCTGTGGATCCCTGGACCACACTTTGAGAAATGCCAGTATATGCACATTGTGTGTCTGTGCCTATTGTAAGCAACAGCGTATATTTATATATATTGCCATTGCATCAGCCCAGCCCATAGCAACCTCAGACTCCAGCAATCCTCCCGCCTCAGGCTCCCAAGTAGCTGGGACTACTGTCGCTGGCCACAACACTGGACTAACTTTTTTTATTTTTAGTAGCAAAAAGAATTCTTGCTCTTGCTTTTCCTCCCGCTAGTCTCGAACTCCTGAGCTCAAGGGATTCACCTGCCTCTGCCTCCAAGAGTGCTGAGATTACAGGCATGAGCCACTGCACCCAGCCAGGATATGTATATATTGAGAACAGGCAATGAATCAAAGTGTCGGAACCACAGCTAGTTTTAGTTCTTTATTAATACAAGTCCTTTTCAATTGTCCTTATGGAAACCGTAACTCTTGGGATTTTGGATAAAATACATAGAAATAGAATGCAAGAAATTTTTTCACAATACCCCCAGTGGTTAAGTAATTAGAAAGCTTATATTTGGAGGCAGTTATAGCAACTAATGGTGGAGGGGAAAAAAGACACTTAGAACAGTGAGACAAAGAGTGGGTCTGAGCACATGGTGAAAAGTTATCATTTCCAGGTGGAGGACTCTGGCCTGATTAGCAGACTGCCATCCTTGTTAGAAAGAACTGGAAATACTGATTATAATTTCTGAAGAGTCATCATTCTATTATTGTAATTATAATAGTCACAGAGTTGCACATTAATTCATATTCCTCTTCCTGTTTTAGTCATTGGAGCTACTGACTAGGAGAAAAATGGCTGGAAAATGACTTACTGGACTCAGAACCGCAGCTCCTATCACAGTCGGCTACTGCTCCTGCCCCTGCTCTCCTGTGCTTATGATGGCCCAGGAGGCGTGGAAGTAGAGAACAGTCGACACTCGTTATAATTACTGATATTTACTGAATGCCTAAAAAAGTGCTAGATGATTTTTAGATGATTAAACTACTATAGTATATTCATCTTCCAAATACATCACTTTATACTTTTTCTTCTTCCTCACTCTATTTAGGTTATAAAACAGTTGGATTTTCTACTTAGACACAGTGCCTGAACATGAGTTAACTAATCAAAGAAGAAATTTGAGAAAGGAACCATTCACCTTCAATCATAATCTCATCCCCGATGCCCTAGCAATGCTGAAATCAGTTGTTATAACTCTCCTTGATACCAGCAGGTTATGGGAATCATGCCAAAGTCACACTTGTGAAAAGATAAAGGAGAATGCTAAGATAGGAAGGTGAACCACATGTTGTGTCATAAGACGGCAAAAATAAAGCCAAATTTGAAATCTGGCCATAATGTAAGACTAGGCCAAAATTCATTTGATTTGAGCCTTTTTACCCTTAAGGGGAATCTCAGAAACATATAGAGTTAAAAAAAAAAAAGAGAGAGAGAGAGGGGGCATGAATTTATTTATCGGAGAAATGATTACTCTCTACCAGAAAGGTTGGACGAAATCACACTTCATCATTGCTTTGACAGAAGATGCAGCCTAACTGTTCAATACAGCCATCTTTCAAGGCTAGAAAATCTTCCCTTGAGATGGTCTAGACTTACTCATGACTGCATCGTGGAGCCCACAGGGGAGTCAGTCAGCTCTGTCAAGCCAGTAGTCCACGGCACACTGAAGACAGGCTGCTAACGAGGTTGCATGTGTCTGTGTATCACAAGCTTTTTTCTCACAGTTCCTCTGCCATAGCTCTACATGCAGTGCTCTTTAGTTGAGAAGCAAGCACTTTGGTTCCTGAACATACTCTGTGAAGTTTAGTGTCCTGTTCCTTCTAATCTCAAAAGCTTTGTGTTCCACCACAAGTACTGCTAGTGTTATAAACCCCTAAAATTATAATATCACATATAGTGAGATTTCAGTAATGATTTAAGCAAAAGACTGAGGAACTAGTATCATTGTTTTGATAGCATGATGAATTTTACAAAATTTCCTATTTTAAGGTTTCCCATCTCTTCGATGTAATGAGAATCTGTTAGGTAGGTGTAATTCTGCTGAAATACTACTTTTTTATCAAAATAAATTGAATATCTATAATGAAAAATACTTTTATTATGGTTGTTTAAATTTCTTTACCTGTCTTCTTCAGAATACAGATGATAAAATTATTTTATTTTAGTTCATCTATGGGTCATTAGTCATTTTGTATAGATTAAAATTTATCTTAAGCAGAGTATTACGTTTTAATATAAGATATTCCTTATTTGTGTGTTGGTATCTGGATTTTTTAAAACTCTTCTTTTAAGAGGGCATTTTGATAGGGCATTTCAGACGTACTTACCTCAACTGAAATTTATAAAAACAAGCTTTCTAGAAATGCTCAGAACTGCTTCCTAAACAATTATGTCACCTATATATACATTGACATTGAGAAAAATCAAGCAATAAGATAAAATAGACTAAAGATTTAGAGAAGTTGAATTAATTGAATCATTTAACTTATAAATCAGATAATAAAGAAAATATCTCTAGGTTATAATAATAAATCTGCATCGCTATTAGCTTAGGTAGCTGGGATTATAGTTAAGATTGTTCTTTTAATGAGAAAAGATAAATCCAGATAAAATTTAAAGCCCGAAACTTCAGAACACCTGAAGTATGCATGTACATGGAAGGAGTTTAAAAATATAAAGACTTAGTGATAGAAGGAAATTACAGTAGCTTTGGTTAGAGATAATTGTCTTCTCAGAAAAAGAAAATGCTAGAAAATTCAGTAACTAAGGAAAAATACTGGGAATCTGAAACATTTTTTGTTTGACTAAATAATTTGCTATAAGAAAAAGTAACCCCTCTAAGTAATCTGTCGTAGTTTTAAAGGAAACATAAGTGAACACTTGATTCATGTTATTTTTTTCCTGATTTTTTAATTTGTAATGTTCAACAACTTTCATACTGAGATCTAACATAACATTCATGTGACTGAGTCTAAAATTTGTCTTCTGTGATATTTTCTTACATGTATGCTTAGTTTTTAACACTTGTTGAATACCTTACAATACACCTTTCTTTTTGCTCCCCCAGTAATCGTGTGGAAGCGTGGACAAGAGATGTGGCTTTCCTACTCAGACAAGAGGGCAGACCTATGGTTAATCTTATCCCTAGTAAGACTAAAGTAAGAGTAATGGAAAAGGACTGGAAGAACACAGACAGAGCTGTAAACTGGTTAAGAAAGGAAGCGATTAATCACACTGAACCATTTGTTCTTTACTTGGGATTAAATTTGCCACACCCTTACCCTTCACCTTCTTCGGGAGAAAATTTCGGATCTTCAACATTTCACACATCTCTTTACTGGCTGGAAAGAGTAAGTAACAACAGCGTGTGTGCGCAAAAGCTCCAAAGTGAACATTCTATCTGTAGTTCACTGATATTAGCTCATTTTTTTTTTTGACAATTGTCTATTCATACTTGACCAATAACTGGTTGAGTAAAAGCTAAAGGGACAATTCTACAGAAATAAAGTTAAGTATTAAAATTCAGAAATCTACTTCTGGATTGAATACATTTGCAAATATGTCTCTTTTTTAAAAGAGACACTGAAAGGCATTTTCTTTAACTCTTTGAACATGAGTTAATTAATCAAAGAAATTTGAGAAATTAACTTCAATCATAATCTCATCCCTGATGCCCTAGCAAGCTGAAATCACTTGTTACAACTCTCTTTTAGGACCAGCAGGACAGTAGGCTGTCCTCACTTTACACAGTTCAGTATCATAAAAATAACCTAGAAAGCTAAGACTACACAAAATGATCTGAGTAATCAAGGAGAAAATTTTCCTGGAAACTTTCAAAATATTTTGTCAGAAGATTTAAAATTCTCTTCATTTGGCTATAAGTAGACATAGAAAAAATAGTAAAATTAGTATTTATGTCCTGGCAAATTTTCATATTCTTTTTAAAATTTGGACCAACTTACAACATTGTACCTTTGGTACTTTCAATGGCATGAGAGATCTCCTAGAGTTCATTTGATGTGACAGTCTTTATTAATGTCCTTCCTCTGGGACATCTTCATCCATTTCCTATTACAACAGTCTTTTCCTCATTTATATCAGTAAGTGTGTGTTCACAAGTTCCTCCAGCTACATAGCTAGAGTCTCTGCGATGGCAATAGTGTCTGCATTCCCAAGTCTGCTATTTCTTCTATAATTTATCTTTGTATTTGATTTGAATTTCACTTTCAGCCTTATTACTTTGCAATTTTTTACTGCACATTCATCTTTGTTGACCAGCTCTTCTTTTGATTATCCATTTTCACAAAGCGTCACATGGATTTTTCACTGGAAGACAAGGAGGCAGCCCGAGTATATGCTTTGCTGCCTGTACATGTGCTGAATAACCAGTCACTGACAGACTTTGAAAGAAACAACACGAGTAGTCAATGAAAACAGTGTGTGTCTCTTGTCTACATAGTGATCTGCAGACTAGAGCTTCTAGCAGCATATTCCTTGTTAATATATGTGCACGTATACCCTGCAAACTGAAATGGGAGCCTTGTTCTTGGAGAATTGGTGTTATATAACTAAACTGTGATACCTGAATTTATGCATATCAGAGCCACCTAATACAAAGAATCCCTGTTTCAAATGTGTAGTCTTAAATCAAAATTAAGTTATTTCAAAAACTCTAATCAAAAATGGTATTTAGTAAATGATTTTTTTTTATTGTTTGGGATTCATTGAGGGTACAAAGAATTAGAGTACACTGATTGCATCTGTTAGGTAAAGTCCCTCTTACAATTGTCCCCCTGCCAAGAGGTGTGCCATACACCCTAGCCCCCCAGCTCCCTCCCGCCACCCCTCCGTCCCCTTCTCTCTGATTCCACTACCCCCACCATACCATGTGTTAGATCATCATCTGCCTTCATACTGGAATTGAGTACATTGGATTCTTGCTTCTCCATTCTTGTGATACTTTACTAAGAAGAATGCGTTCCTCCTCCATCCAGGTTAATATAAAAGATGTAAAGTCTCCATCTTTTTTAATGGCTGAATAGTATTCCATGGGATACATATACCACAGCTTGTTAATCCATTTCTGGGTTGGTGGGCATTTAGGTTATTTCCACATTATGGCAATTGTAAATTGAACTAGGATAAACATTCTAGTGCAAATGTCCTCATCATAAAATGATTTTTTCCCTCTGGTTAGATGCCCAATAATGAGATTTCAGAATCAAATGGGAGGTCTTATTTGAGTTGTTTAGTGCATGGTATTTTAAAGGAAATAATGTCAGTTTTTGATACTCTATGTCTTCTTTAAAAAGGTCTAAGTGGTCCATCTTCAAAAATTTATCATGATTTATTACTTAATAGTAAAAACAGTATTTAAACTTCATGAAAGTTACATAACAAAGGTAAATATAAATTAAAGACATAATCCTAATTGTTTTTACCAAAACCATAAGTAAACATTTTTATGTGTTAAAAAGTTGTATTTGTTTTTTTTGTTTGTTTGTTTGTTTGTTCATTTTTGTCTGGGGCTGGGTTTGAACCCACCACCTCCAGCATATTGGGCTGGCGTCCTACTCCTTTGAGCCACAGGCACCACCCAAGTTGTATTTGTTTTTTAATAAGCATTTGGCTATCTTATTAGATATTGGCATTTTTACTAGTAAATTAAGAAAAAAGAGTCAATGTTCTTAGGTTGTCGATTGTGAAGTTTTGAACTGGTCACTCAAGTATATATTAAAGGGCTCAGACACTTCTAGACTAGAATACTGTCTAGTATAGATCATATTTTGCATTCAAATGTATAATTTGTAAATGTTCTACAACTGTCTCACTACACACACACACACACACATATACAGAGGATACCAAAAAAAGTGTACACATTTTAATAAAGGAAAAAACTGTATTAAAATTGTAATACTCAACTCATGTTTGACGTCTATAATTATAAGAGATACAAGATACAGTATGCCAGATAACAGACATTATTGGTATATATTAGGCATTACAGTTGCATGTGTTATATGTGGGTGTGTATAGTGAGACACACAGATATTGATATATACCTTTTGTTAGTGGGAACAGTAATAATTTATTTCTAATTTATGCATTTTATTTTTTATATCACATAATTTATAGCCATTGCACTGCTTTGCTAACCATATGTACTTTCTAGAAGAGAGGAAGGTTACTATTAGCACTTTGCTAGCCTAACTAAGTTTCTTCTCTCCCTTTTAGGTATCTCATGATGCCATCAAACTCCCAAAGTGGCCACCTCTGTCAGAAATGCACCCTGTAGATTATTACTCTTCCTACACAAAAAACTGCACTGGAAAGTTTACAGAAAAAGAAATTAGGAATATTAGAGCATTTTATTATGCTATGTGTGCTGAAACAGATGCTATGCTTGGTAGGTGGTATGATTATTAAGCAATTACATGAAGAAAAAATATAATACTTTTCTAACAGACTGATCATACTGGTTGGTGATTTCCACGAACATCCCCAAGGTATTTTTTTACAACAGTTGCTTTCATACTTAAGACATAGAACTGTCAGATTTTTGACACATACAAAAATTAGAGGACTTACATTAATCAAATAAAAAGCTATTTATATCTTAGTTACTGATAAATTCTCAGATTCATAAATGTTCAGATTTGTTCATACTTAAAGAAGGGGTCCTAAGAGGCAATTATCTGCTTGAAACAAAACATCTTACCACCTTTAAACAGGAATCAGTATTCACCAAGCACAAGTACACATGGAACAGGTAAAGCTAAGACAGCTTAGATTCTGAAAGATAAGAAAGTTTACTGATGGAATCTGTGACTTCTTCTAGACTTGTAGTAATTACAGAACAAATCCATTCTCCCCAGGCCCTTCAGAGCAAGGCTTAACCAAAGCTGGAATCAGTTTAGTCATGTATGTTCTGGTCTAAAGTCATTTTCTTTTCTTTTTTGTTTTTAAGACTGGGTCTTAGTCGCCCTTGGTAGAGTGCTTTGGCATCACAGCTTACAGCAACCTTCAACTCTTGGGCTTAAGCGATTCTCTTGCCTCAACCTCCCAAGTAGGTAGGACACAAGGCTCGACTATTTTTTGTGTTGTCACTGCTGTTTTAGCTGGCAGAGCCAGGTTTGAACCCACCACCCTCGGTATATGGGACCGGCACCCTACCCACTGAGCCACAGGCGCCACCCGTAAAATCATTCTCAATTTCCTTCATTTAGGCTCAAGGCCAGCTCAAAACCAAATCCACCTTTATAAGATGATTGTCAAGAGTGTGTTTTTCTTGCTTATAGAACGAAAGCAATTTCCTAGTCATATTAATACCCTGGTCTTAAAATACATCCATTTTTATAACAAAAGTGATTTTCTTAAAGTCATGTCATTTATTTTGCTGGATTTGGAATGGAGTACATTGTATCAGCAAAGGGTCAGTAGCATCTCTTCTATACAGAGCAAACTTTGGGGTGACAAATGGTTATTTGTTTAAAAGTATTCATTTAGTAAAAGTAGAAAAGTATGCAGTAGAAAGCAAAAAAGGCCACATGGATAAACTCTTTATAACAACATAAAATGTAGGAGTCGTAGGACTTTCTAAATAATCTTAATGCAAGTAAGACTGAGTTTCTTTAATCCTGAGTCCATACATGTGTTGGTTGTATTTCACTGATACTTTGTGATGTTGGGAAATCACACAGCCATCGACCCATCGGTTCACCCATGTCTACTAGAGTGAAATGTGATGTTGCCTCAATGAGTGTGGGGCTACTACTCTGGAAGTCTTTTCAAAGGGAAAGAGAAATGCAACAGCTTTCTCACTTAAAGTTACAAAGCTTGTGGAATATATTATATCTTCATTTTTAAATCTACACTGATCTCATCACCAAATAATATTTATTACTGTTCGTTGTGTTCATTACCAAACACGTAGGGCCTCTTAGCAGTCAGGCGCCACATCAGGCACTGAGAGGTGATGTGTTGAATACTCTTGAGAAATCACATATTAACTAAAAACACGCTAAGGTCTTCCCCTCATCGGGCCTTTCTGTTTTCGGCTCCTTCTTCTGCCTGGCATCACGCTCTGCTCTTTGTGTGTGGCTGGCTCATTCTCAGGCTTCAGCTCCCAGTTTGGATATCCCCTCTAGAGGGATTCCAACTCCTCAGCCACCCCAACTTAGCACACCACCCATCCTTCTACTAGCTCTGCATCTTGTCATGTTGTTTAATGTTATAATAGCAATTATTCTGTCTGTTTACTTGTTTACTGTCTGTCTCTTTTGAAGAACACAAGCTTCATGAGGGCAGGGACATTCGGTCTTATTCGGCATTGCATCCTAGGTGCCTGTGATTGCTCCACAGTGCCTGGCTCATAGGAAGCACTCGGTAGACACTCACTGAATAAGTATACATGCCAGAGATCATAATATGCTGTTGCAATTACAGTAAGATACAAGTCGTAAGGATCTTAGAGAATGAAGTGATTCACTTTCCCTGAAGGAACAGGGAGTGAGTGATGCTTCACCAGAAAGAGAGCGCTTGACCTGAGCCAGCAGGGAAGAATGGATATCTGCCAATATCCAGTGGGGGGGAAAAGGCCCTCACCACGGGGGCAAAGAATGTGCAGGGGCAAGGAAGTGTAAAGTAAAGGGTGTATTCACAGAGGTCTGAATAGTTCACAGTGCTCAACAGGTAACGGTCTAGCAGGCAGCTGAGGGTGCTGAGGTTGGAGAGTGGACAAGGGGCCTTGCTTATCACACTGAAGAATTAGACAGTGAGAAGCTGTGAAAAGTCTTAAGGAGGGATGTGACATCCTCAGGTGATCAGGTACTTGAGAAAGATTGCCACCAAGAGAGCAGAGGGGATACTGAGAGAGGAGTGGAGACCACACTGATAAAGAAATAAATCCAGTTGTCCAGAGAAAATATCTGGAGGATCTCGACTCCAGAAATAACTCCATGGAGCAGTAGGTCTCAGTTCTGGGTTTTTCAAATAATACACATATACACCCCTGTGCCCAAGATTCAGCAACTGCCAAATAGGGGAAACTCCTCTTTCTGGACTATACTTTATTGTGATTTTGTTTCTTTCTTTCTTTCTTTCTTTTTTGAAACAGAATCTCACTTTGTAGCCCTCAGTAGAATGCTATGGCATCAAACTCAGCAACCTCAGATTCCTGGGCTCAAGCAATTCTCTTGCCTCAGCCTCTCAAGTACCTGGGACTATAGGCACCCACCACAACACCAGCTATTTTTAGAGATGGGGTCTTGCTCTAGCTCAGGATGGTCTCAAACTCGTCAACTCGGGATACACCCACCTCTACCTCCCAGAGTACTGGGATTACAGGGGTGAGCCACTGGGCCAGCCTATTGTGATTTTCTTAATTACAGTGAAGAAGAAGTTTCAGAACACTATAAGGGACTGATCATAGGCATTTTACTGTCCAGTTATCCCCTAACCAAGAGTAAAGCTAAATCATACTCATATGCTATCTGTACTGCCCCCAGTTTTTCTTCAAAGGTGAGATTTCCATAACCCCCATGAGCATGATCTGGCTACTGTCGGGGGTGTTGTGATAAAACAGAGCAGAGAAGAAGGGCTCTGACCACTCTGTCACCTGTTGCATAGAAACTGTGAGTCAGTAGTGGTACAAATTTTGTTTTCTGTCATCTGTGACATATGCAGTGCTGGCATCCAACTTGTCTGTGTCACTGGAGGCACTAAGGGAAGACTCCCCCATTCTCTACAGAAACACAGAAAGCGAGCCAGTGATCTCCAGATAAAGGAGCTCTGAGCAAAAGCTCCTACTAGGTGTCATGTTTTCTCCCTCCTCTCTCATCTGTCAACTGAAGATCAAATAATGAAAATTAGTTTGACTTCATATCCATAGAATGTTCAGATGTTAAAAACACTCTGACAAACTTAACATGATGGAATAAGACATGTACTAAAAGCTAATTAATAGATTCATTCTGGTTTCTATTGTAGGTGAAATTATTTTGGCTCTTCGCCAGTTAGATCTTCTTCAGAAAACTATTGTCATATACTCCTCAGACCATGGAGAGCTGGCCATGGAGCATCGGCAGTTTTATAAAATGAGCATGTATGAAGCTAGTGCCCATGTGCCACTTCTGATGATGGGACCAGGAATTAGGGCCAACCTACAGGTGTCAGATGTGGTTTCTCTTGTGGATATTTACCCTACTATGCTTGGTAAGTAATGCAGTTTTGTAAATATTTATTTGTAATAATGCTGAAAAATGAACACAAAATAGTCAGAGGTGCTGCTGACTTGTTTATAACCCAGAGCAGCTCATTTAACTATGAGTCAAATCTGTACTCTGAAAAATGAGGGTAATATTTGTCATGTTCAGAAGACTCACCATCAGGATATGACTATGAAGGGAGCCTGTAAAATCTTTAGATTCATAATTATACAGCTACAACCTATACATCATTTGACTTTCTTCCACCACCTCCTTAAAATATAAGTACTTTCTTTCTGAATTATTCTATCCACTCTGAAACTACTAACTATGAATATACTTCTCATCAGACTCTGTAGAGAGTTCTGTATTAGTTGCTTTACTAGCTTCTTAATGTCCACAACCATAGCCATAGGTCTGAAAAAGCAGCATTTGGAAAGGGATAGTTAGCAGTTTCTGTTCAAAAGGTATGCACATTTTTAAGACACTTGAAACTTAACGTCATATTTGCCTCAAGAAAATTTGTATCAGGTTACTCCCAGTAGCAGTGTATAAGACTGATTTCTTAACATAAGTTTTCTAATTCTTCTCAATCTTAGCCAGCTCTGTATGTGAAAGAAAAATGGTATGTTCTTCTCTTAATATTTTTATGACTACTGAGTTTGAGTATTTAAAAATCTCTTGGCCATTTGTATAAATTCTATTGTGAATTGCTTGTTTATCTGGTCAATTTGGTAACAGAATATTTCTCTTTTTCTTATAGATGTGTAAGAACATTGACCTAGAAATTCCGATGTAGGAAATAACCTATAGATATAAGTACTATTTACTATAGTATTAAGAGAGAAGTTGAACAAGATGAATATCCAGTAGTAATGGATTGCATAAAAAATAGTCAATCTATTTTAAAAAGTAAATACATGAAAGTAGCCCCATGTATTATTAAAAATAAAATATAGCCTTTAAAATTGTATGAACACATTCATTTTGTTTTGTTTACCAAAATAGAGTGTCCATCTAATTTACTGTCCAAATCAGCACATTTTTAAAAGAAGACCGTTAACTACTACATCAGGATTAACAGGCATAAACTGAGTCTGCTGCCGTATTTAACAGCCTTAGCAGCCAGCAAAGCAAAGATGGTTCATGTTTCATCTGATGTTTAATTCAAGCTTTTAAAAGAAAATTCCTCTGCAAGTGCTGCAAGAGTTTAAAGCTACTTTATTGTGATTAACTCTAAAATTAAACCTATGCGACAGAATGTTCTTTTCCCCTCTGCTTAATAAATAAACTTATACATAATTTGATAAAGTACCCACAAAGGATTTCTTATTTTGTTCCAACCAATTAGGATCTTAAAATAGATACAGATGATAGTCTGTTCTTAGAATTCTTAAGGTCCTTTCTCCATTAGCATAGCTATAGCTGTATTATTTTGTATGAATCCTATTTATACACAAAGTATAAGCTTAAAAAGAAAATTCTATAAAGAGAAAAATTTGTTTTGAAATTGATGTTTCAAGGATGAACTTTGCTCATAGTACATTTGAGCTTTAAAACAAAGATATTTGAGTCTTCTGGAAAATAAAAATGAAATTAAAATTTGAAATATTGTGAAACAGAAACAAACACTTCTGGTGTCAAAAAAACAAAAACTTCTCAAATCATAGCCCAAACCAGACTTCTTCTTCCTCCATTCTATGTACCCTAGAAATATCATGTGAAAGATGGTGATTCAAAATATCATTGATAAGCGGGTGCTCACACCTGTAATCCTAGCACTCTGAAAGGCCAAGGCCAGTGGATAGCCTGAGCTCAGGAGTTCAAGACCAGCCTAAACAAGAGGGAGACTCCCTGTCTCTACAAAATAGCCAGGCATTGTGGCAGGTGCCTGTAGTTGCAGCTACTTGGGAGCTGAGGCAAGAAAATCACTTGAGCCAAAGAATTTGAGGTTGCTGTGAGCTATGACACCAGGGCACTCTACCAAGGGAAACAAAGTGAGACTCTGTCTCAAACAAAAAAAAATAACAAAATATCATTGACAGAAAGATATTGAATAGGAAAACCAGTTAGGATTCCTATTTTAATAAACCTACCTTAATAGCATGAGTCTGTTGAAATATAAGGTACTACAATGATTTTATTTAAAAGTCTGAGTTTATGGGTGGCACCTGTGGGTCAGTGGGTAAGGCGCCGACCCCATATACCCAAGGTGGCAGGTTTGAACCCAGCCCTGGCCAAACTGCAACAAAAAAGATAGCTCAGCATTGTGGCGGGTGCCTGTAGTCCCAGCCACTCGGGAGGCTGAGGCAAGAGAATCAGGTAAACCCAGGAGTGGGAGGTTGCTGTGAGCTGTGTGATGCCACTGCACTCTACCAAGGGTGATAAATAAATCACCCTTGTTGATTTAAATAAATAAAAGTCTGAAGTTATAGTTTTTAAAAGGATTTTTAAAAGATTACTTCTTTCTATGAAATATTTCATGATAGGGAGGAAGAATATTCTCAGTTTCTTTATCATTGTAGATCCTTTATTACATGGTGTCACATTATCATTTCCTAATATTGGCATTTCCATTTTTATGAATAGGAGTTCTTTGTAATATTACAGTTAATATCATTATTTCCAGAGATTATTCTTCAAATAGTACTCCCCAAAGTATTTTCTTTTCTAATACCAGTGAGAAATAAAGGTGGTCGGGCAGCGCTTGTGGCTCAAAGGAGTAGGGCGCCAGAGGTGGCGGGTTCAAACCCAGCCCTGGCCAAAAACTGCAAAAAAAAAAAGAAAGGTGGTCTCATTTTGAAATTTAAAATTGTTTTGATTTTCACTTTTAAACTTAGTTTCATATAAATTTTACTTTTAATATTTGATCTTTTTTAAAACACCTTTCTTCCACTTAAATGATAATTCTAGATTTTTTGAATTATGAGCATGTAATATTATATAAAAATACGGTTGTATTTAAAACAGTACTTAATTGCTAGTGATTTTAACTGCAAACCCCTCTTGTGAGAGGACCTTAGTGGAAGGGTGGGGGTGAGCTGTGAAAGTGAAGAACTACAGTAAAGCCAGATTTACAGTGTACTGAGGCTCAGGTCAGATTGCCTGAGGTCAGCCTGCCCTCAGTAGTTACCAGCTGTGTGGCTTTGGGCAAGTTGCTTAACATCGAAAAAATTCCGAATTATGATCAGTTGGCAGAAAATTAGTGGTTGTATTTGCCTCTTTCAAGGAAAATAGAAGATGCAAATGTTTAAGATACATGAAACATCATCTTCAGAAGATGTATGGAGGTCCTTGTCTACTTCCTTATTCTTCTTTAATCCGTTTTTCGTCAGATAGAGTCATTAAATTAATTCTTTTATTCAGTTTTGCTTAATTTCTAACTGATCTAATTCCATTTTTCATCGAAAAAGTATAAATACACAAAAAAGCATGGAACACTGAAACCAGAAAAAGGATGGGGGAGGCAACTGCAGACTCATTCTGGATCTCCCTTAACTACTTAGCCATAGTGAATTGTAATTTTTGTATAGGAGAGAGGCAGTTTGAATTCCAAACACCTAAAAAGCTGTTTTTAAAACTACAACCTGGCTTAGTGCCTGTAGCTCAGCAGCTAGGGTGCCAGCCACATACACCGGATCTGGTGGGTTCAAATACACACCAGGCCTGCCAAACAACAATGACAACTACAACCAAAAAATAACCAGGTGTTGTAGCAGGCACCTGTAGTCCCAGCTACTTGGGAGGCTGAGGCAAGAGAATCACTTAAGCCCAAGAGTTGGAGGTTGCTGTGACCTGTGACACCACAGCACTCGACCCAGGGCAACAGCTTGAGACTCTGTCTCAAAAAAAAAAAAAACCAGCAATCTGTTTTTAAGTTGGATATTTCTCATGTTATTGTTCATGTAGATTTGATATATTGAAAATAAACATTTCCCTATATCAGTATAATCCAGGATTTAGTATGTTTTACAAAATACTAGTCCCTCAAGATGCTACTTGAAAATAATAAAAAAAAAAAAAAAAAGGTTGTGTCATCAACCAACTTTGGGACACAAAACCTGTCTTGAAGGTACACAGTGCATATCAGCAATACATTTGCATATGCAGTAAATACACTATTTAATTTTGTTTAACCATTGTTTTGCAAAGGTGTGTGACAACTAAATCCCTCTCTTGTATAGGTCTTAATATCCCCTAGGAAAAATTTTAAGAAACAACTGTGACTATTTACTCATTAGGAAAAAAGGACTAAGGCCAGGTGTAGTGACTCACACCTGTAATCCTAGTACTCTGGGTGGATAAATTGAGCTCAGGAGTTCAAGACAAGCCTGAGCAAGAGTGAGACCTGTCTCTCAAAAATAACCGGGTGCTGGGGCAGATGCCTGTAAGTCTCAGCTACTCAGGAGGCTGAGGCAAGAGGATGGCTTGAGCCTAAGAGTTTGAGGTTGCTGTGAGATATGATGCCTCAGCACTCTACCCAGGGTGGCAAAGTGAGACTATCTCAAAAAAAAAAAAAAAAAGGACTGGTGGTATTAAATAATATTTATTGAGAGCTCCTATGTCTCAGAATTTTACTTAAATTATCTTATTTAAGCCTAAAATGAACCTATGAGATACAGGTACTATTATTATCCCTTTTTTACAGGTAAGAAAACTGAGGTTCAGAGAAGTGAATAAGCTGGGCAAGGTCATGTGACTGGTAAACATTTGACTCTAGGCAGTCTGTTACTTAAATCCATATACAGTCTCTATTCTGTGGCTCTTAATGGTATGAAAAAATGTAAATTATATCATTTATAGATTTTTATCTTATAAAAGAATGAGTTATTTTTGAATATTTTATTTTTGCTATGTAGATATTGCTGGAATTCCTCTGCCTCAAAACCTGAGTGGATACTCTTTGTTGCCATTAGCATCAGAAACATTTAAGAATGAACACAAATTCAAAAATGTGCATCCGCCCTGGATTCTGAGTGAGTTCCATGGGTGTAACGTGAATGCTTCCGTCTACATGCTCCGCTCTCACCAGTGGAAGTACATAGCCTACTCTGATGGCACTTCAGTGCTGCCTCAACTCTTTGGTAAATTTGTTGATATATTTTTAGATGTAATGTTACATGGAAGGAGCTGACTTACACTGCTCAAGAAATCCAGTCATCGTTGTAAAATAAGTGAACACATACTGCTGCTCATGCTGTAACAGTCTGGAAAGGGCTGCCCATGTGAGGAGCAGCTTCTCTGCAAATAAGCTTCTCAATTCAGAGAAAGTGACGTAAGGCTTTTGATCTGGGTCTCAAGATAGAAGCCACTGTCATATGTTAATATTCATGGTTACCTTTCCAATCAGCAGTCAACACCTTCTCTTTGTACCTAGATTTCACCTGCCTCTTACAGAGTTTGACATGCGACACATACTGTTCAATGCTCACCACAACCCTACAGGATAGTACCACAGCTTTCTTCATTTTACAAAGGAGACTAGGGGTCAAGGAAATTTGTATACCTGTTCAAGACCTCAAGTTTAAAAGTGGCAGAACTGTGCTTTCAACCCAGGTCTCTCTCTGAAATGGATGCTTCTTCTACCCTATAGAGATGCCTGCCTACTTCACTACTCTGTGAATTAATTTTTAAACATCTCCATTGGATTTAGGTTTACTTATCCTTTGCCCCATTTTGTACATAAAATATGTGCTAACTGAATATTAATGATGTCATTAATATTCATTTCTCCCCAAGTTTCCTTCCCAGTTACAAATGTCAGAATTACTAACTCACAATAACTCTTTAAGGGCCAAACTGGCTAAATTTAAGAGCAGGATTTCAAAAGGAAGTACTTAAGTTTTCACTTGATGGCTCAGCGCCTGTGGCTCGCAAGTGGCTAAGGCACCAGCCACATACACCTAAGGTGGCGGGTTCAAATCCAGCCCAGGCCCGCCAAGCAACAATGATGGCTGCAACCAAAAAATAGGCAGGCGTTGTGGTGGGTGCCTATAGTCCCAGCTACTTGGGAGGCGGAGGCAGGAGACCCGCTTGAGCCCAGGTGTTGGACATTGCTGTGAGCTGCGATGCCACGGCGCTCTACTCAGGGGGACAGCTTGAGGCTCTGTCTCAAAAAAAAAAAAAAAACTTTTCACTTGATGAGTAATGGGCATCGACACTAGTGAGCATTGCTCATTCACTGGCCATTGTCAAATGAAATTTATGGGAGGCCATTATTTTGAACTGAGCTGTACTAGGTCCAACAGATCAGCCCCAATCAGAGTGAAGTCATTTGTGCTCAGGTACCACATAAGTAAACTGATCTTTACAACAAGCCAATTGCCAAAAAAACCACCAAGGAGATTCACAGTAACCAGTCAGAAAAGGCTCAATTTACATAAGCTGACATGAGGAATTCCTTGCTGTTTTGACCCTGCAAAAAAGAGTAACTTTGTAGGGTGGTGCCTATGGCTTAACAGGGTAGGGCACTGGCCCCATATGCCAGAGGTGGTGGGTTCAAACCCAGTCCCCGCCAGAAAAAAAAAAAAAAAAAGAGTAACTTTGTAGTGGTCAACCTGCTTTTCATTCCTTATCTCTGCTTTCTTTAGCGTTTTCTGCCTATAAAGCTTCACCTTCTCTGCTCAGCTCATCAGTGTGACTTTTCTAAACCTTTAGACAGGATGATGCCCAGTTCATGAAATCGCTAAATAAAATTAATTAGATCCGTAAATTTTTTGGAATTTTGGGTTTTTTTATGTTCTGCACAAAGCAGTTAAGACTATCAAAAGATCAGAGTGGGGAATCAGCATTTTCTGTATTTGCTACGAATTATTTATCAACTTCCCTTTCCTAAAGAGGCAACATCTGAAGCCACCTACCACAGTCATGTGTATCTTTAGGGTCTCGTGGCTGCTGGACTCCAGTGGGCAGGTTCTTCCTTCAGCAGACAGGGTTCACTTACTTTCTCAAGTTGATCCTCATAAGGTCTGTGACTTGCTGCTTTTCTAATTAGATTGGCAGCCTCATTACTTCCTTGTCTTTTCAATCCCTATGTAAAAAGGATGTTTACAGATTTGAAATGTTTTCCATTATTTTCTTGGTGACAGTGATGTAAAGATTGTTATTTCCATGGCTTTTTGTTCAAATAGACAGTATTGATGAATGTGTCTTTCAAAAATGCAAGCACAAGATGCTAACATATAAAGAAAACTAGGAGTATGTGAACTTGTTAGAATCCTTACAAACTGGAAAGGTTGGTGCTGTTGAACTGGGACAGTATAAGCATTGCTACTTTTTTTCTTTGCATGTCAAAGTAGGCAAGGCATCAAAACCAGGAAGAATTCTAAACCAGCTTATTAATGACAAATTTTAGTTTCTATCATCCAAGAATGAATAAGAAAAAAAAAGTGGAATGGCAGAATGCTGGTAAGGACAATAGTCTGGGCACACAGGACAGGATATTTTAACCTGGGTTTATTATTCTACCATTTACACTGCCACTCTTTTTACTACACTAACAGCAACTGAAAGTTAAAAATTCTGATACAGTACGCATCATAATGACATTCCTAAATAAAAGTTTTAGCAAAGTAACTACTTTGACAGATATTTCATATTTTTCTTTCAGATCTTTCCTCGGATCCAGATGAACTAACAAATATTGCAGTAAAATTTCCAGAAATAACTTTGTCTTTGGATCAGAAGCTTCGTTCCATTGTAAATTACCCTGAAGTTTCTGCTTCTGTACACAAATACAATAAAGAACAGTTTATCAAGTGGAAACAAACTGTAGGACAAAATTATTCAAATGTTATAGCAAACCTTCGGTGGCATCAGGACTGGCTGAAAGAACCGAATAAGTACGAAAGTGCAATCAATCAGTGGCTTAAAACCCACACTAATGCGAAAACAGTTTGAACAACAATAAGAAATAAATGTTCTAGAACTACATACAAATACATTAAAAGATAAAAGTTAATCACATACTTTAAAGGGAAGATTTAATAAAATTACTGATTTTAGCTATTTTTGATGTATTTTGAAATAAAATGCCAATGATTATAAAATTACATCTTTTCAAAAATGGTTATCATCAAGACATTTTGGGTACCAACTTCTAACTATGCAATGCAAGTATCAAGAGGATGGAAGCAAATACTGTAAAATAAAAGTTATGTTCCTCTAAATAATATAGAATATAAAATATTTTAGTTTATTATTATGTGTAAGTATTTGATGGTATTTGATGAGTTATTTGTATTTGATGGGACCATTTGGCATATTTTATGGGACATAAACCCTGAACACAACTGATTTTATTACCTTTTTTAAACAGGTAATACACAGGTAATACTTTATCCTAAAGCACAGGATAAAAGCGTCTAAAGGTACATAAGAAAGGGGTAACAGTGAACATGAAGTCTGGCTCCTCTCCCAGTCCCCTGCCACCTAGTTCCCTTTGCAAGAGCCAACTACTGCAAGCACCTTCTCACACATTCTTTTAAAGACTGAACTTGCATTTACACACAAATATACATACATTTTCCAACACACAGTGTTCTGCATCTTGCTCCTTTATTTCCCACTTAACAGTAGACACCCAGAAGTGGACTCTGCATCAAGAGTATATCTAGCAAAACTGCACTGCGTGCTACCAAATTACCTGTGATGAAGTTACGCTGATGTTCTTACCAGCAATGCCTGTTCTCAACTCTTTTGCCAAACTGATAGAAAACAAGATATTTTCTTGGGCGGCACCTGTGGCTCAATGGGTAGGGCAGCAGCCCCATATACCGAGAGTGGCAGGTTCGAACCCGGCACCAGCCAAACTGCAACAAAATATAGCAGGGCCCTGTGGCGGGTGCCTTTAATCCCACCTGAGGCAAGAGAATCACTTAAGCTCAAGAGTTGGAAGTTGCTATGAGCTGTGACGCCACGGCACTCTACGATATAGTGGGCAGTACAGTGAAACTCTCTTAAAAAATATATATTTTTCTTATTATAGATATGGTAGATCATATTTTCATATATTTAACAGCCATTGGAATTTGCTTAGACATGACCTTTCCCTATTTTCTATTCTTTGACTGTTTTTCTGTTGGCTTTTAGTCTTTTTGATTTTGTTATTGTAGGCATGCTATATTAGCTCTTTATAATAAATATTCTCTTTCCAGTTTGCCACTGTCATTTGTCTTTTGACATGTTCTGGTGTTTTTTACATATAGAAATTCATATTTTCATGTAATCAAATTTGTGAATCTTTGTACCCCTTAAGTATATACAATTATGATTTGTATCATAAGTTATCAAAAATAACATAAAATTTTGTATTAAAAAGTATGAATCTTTGAATTTTGTGCCATATCTTTCCCATTTATCTCTTTTAAGATTTTGATTTTTCACCTTTAAATGTCTGACTCATCTGGAATGTTTTACATATTAAAGATCTAACTTTAGGGTTTTTTTCAATGGCTACCCAATTGACCTTTTATTGAGTAAACTGTATGTTGTCTCATTGGTTAAAAATATCACTTCACTATATAACACCTTAGATTGAATAAATTATCTTTTCCCCCATTGATGAGAATGAGGGAAAAGTCCAATTTACAAGCATGCCTTTCTGAATGTTTTATTTTGTGCTGGATCACTCCATGTATGTGATAGTATCTGGTAGGACTGGTGCCTTTGCAACAGTTTTCTTTTTCAGAATGGTTCTAGCTACTCTTGCTCACTTAGTTTTTCCATTCAAATTTAGAGTAAGTTTGTCTAGTTATAAAAATGAAAAATCTTATTAGTCTTTTCTATGAAATAAGTAAGTTTATAGCCTAATTTATAAAGAATTTATTTTTTTATGATAGTCATTCTAAAAAATAGTCTGTTTTTCCCCTTATTCAAGTATTCTTTTCATATGCCTCAAAAATATTTCAATTTTTCCTCATATAGATCAGTTTCTCTCTAGAGATTTCTGAAAAATGGGGACGTTAAAAAATACCACCTAAGCCTGATGCCTTACCTGTTGAATTAGAACTTCCAGGAGGGAGCATGGGCACTGTTGTGATCTTTTATTAATCCCTCCAGCCATGATCCTAATATGTAGCCAAAGGTGACTTCATTCCCAAGTGTTTATCTTGTGTTATTGTGATTAAAGGGTTCTTTCATCCTTTATATCTACTAATGGGTAGTTGTTTATATTATGTAAACTCTATTTCTATATATTTTGTACAAAACCACTTTATTGTTTCTAATAGCTTTGTAGTTGATATATTTTCTAAGTAAAAACATGTGTCTGTGAATAATTTTATCTTACTTTTTCAAACTGTCTTTCAAGTTTTTTTCAATAAATGAAAATTATTTCCCAAAATAGAATTCTAAACCCAGCCAAATCATCAGTTAAGCATGAAGGCAGAATAAAGAAATTTTCAACATACAAGATCCCAAAAAGTTACTCCTTCTCGAGAAGTCACTGAAAAATGATTTCGACCCAAGCAAGGAAATAAACCAAGAAAGAAAGAAAAAAATGAAACCTGAGAAGTGAGAGAGGCAGCATGAGATAAAGGGATCTCTAGGGCCACGCAGTGAGGAGCCAGGATGACCGCTGGCCTGGAGGGCAACCTGTCCCGACTCAGTGTGCATGACTCATAAGGAGCAGTGTCTGTCACTGCTTCACCCTCTGCCTTGGCACGACCTTTTAACCTTATGATATACTGGATGATGTGTTCTATCAAAAAGGAAGAAATTAAGAAAACATATCAGAGATTCAAGAAAAAGGAACTACAACCCAAGAGAAAGGCAGAGAGTTTCAAAGATGACAACAAATTGACTTCCCCAGACAGAATTTATGCAGCAGGCCTAGAGAGAAATAAACCCAAATAAAAGTCTCTGATAAAGAAGTTTGCATGAAGAAAAAATTGGAATTACTATATTATGAAACTGACCTTGTGGAAATTGTATAGAGGACTACTTGGAGGTATAGAAAGAATGAGCTATGAAAAGAAAAGGTGATTGTTATCTTCAAGAAAAAAAAATAGCAAGATTCACATTAAACTATGTTACTCAGCTGAAAATATTTTCATCTTATAATAATGTAAACACCAATATAGATCTAATCCAAAATTACAGTATGGAAACAGAAAAACAGTGGGACAGAGGTGTGAGTGCTAAATCTTTAATAAGTCAATGTCTAAAACTGTTGAATCAAATAGCATCACCCACTATTTAGAAGTATGGAATTGAGTAAATGCCAGAAACTATAGTAAATACAATTTACACTGGTTCCCTCTAGAAGAGGAGAGAGTGGAGATGTGTGGGACAGGGAACCCTTTGTTACCAGTTCTGTAGTTCAATTTAATATTTACTTTCAGAACTATGTGCATGTATTATTTTGATAAGAACTAGTTTTAAGATTGGTGTTTTTTCAGGTCTTACTCAAGTTCTGTGAAGTGTAATTTCAGTGGTTGAGTCTTGTTTTATAAAAGACAAGGGCATTTCAACAAATTTGAGGCAAATTATAGAATTATCTTGAAAAATATTGAACTGGTATTGGCTGAGGGAATCATTGAATGATGGGCATTGTTCAGAGGAAGCTCCCTGGAAGAAGTGGATTATAAACTGGGATGATGTGTGTGACGTATAAAAAGGCCTTGGACAAAACCCTCTGAGGAGAGAGTGCAAATCAAACCAGGCCTGATTTTAGACTTCCCAAGACTATCCCACGTTTTTAAATGCCCCACCAAGAATGGCTATTCCTGCATTTCTCCCAGAGCTTCCTCAGACCACTGGGGAGACACTGGCATACCTACCAAAGGCATTTTCTTCGGTTATGGATCACAGTCAAGGCAGGGACTGACGTTTAAAGTTACCTATATGCACCACGTAACAATGAACTTATTAACTCAGCCGTATTCACCGATAGCCCACCGTGTGTCAGACTCAGTTCAAGGCACTAGGCACACCAGGGTGAAAATACTAAAGGTCTCTGGCCAAGGACAACAGCTTGGGAAATGAGATTCTTACAGCGACAGGTGGGATTATAATCTGTACCCACCAAGCCCTCCTATCCTGTACATCTCAAAGTTCCAAATGCTTCCCCAGCCCGGGAACATGAATTCCAGCAATCGCCCACACCTCCCTGGCCCCCAGGCCAGGAGTGTAGGAACTTCTCTCTTTTCACCATGATTAATGTGGAGGACAAATCCTCGCTTCCAACAGAAAAACTAAAATTTGTTTGTGAGGAGGCAGGGCCAAAATGAAAGACGCAGCATTTAATCAAAACCATTTCCTGTGACTTGGACGTCTTTTTAAAAAATTGGCCGCCTTATCATTTTCTGAGTCACCTCTTCTCCAGGCTTATTGGAGGCGTAGTCCCTCCTAGCAACCTCCCACCTGCTGGAAAGCAGAATGGAGAGAATGGGGGAGCTGATGACACATCCTTCCCCAGCCGAAAATATTGAGGGAAAGCAGTTAGTGCATTATCCATTTGCATAAAACCTACTAATGCCTTCTTCCTGACAAAATGAATCCTACACCACCGGGAGAGCAGCTGTGATCCACTGATTCTAGTAAAGAGGAGTGTTTGGGACATTCTGCAAACCACTGCCACTCCGCAAAGCACCATCACCGACTTCGGTGCTCTCGGATTAAAACAAAATACTCTCAGCCTTGGGCACAGGACTACACATCTTAATCGAAGATTCAGAGCAGGTTTTCTATTTGCTCAAACGTTGTTAGGTTTCTTGCGTTCCTGTTTTTCTTCTCATGCTAATGGAAAATCACAGGCATTTCAAAACACATTCTTTTAAAAATCAAACAAAAATCTTTTCTTTTTCCTCCCTTACTGGCAATCAGGAAACCCTGGGGGTGGGGGTAGGAGGTGAACATTCTCAGTCACTAGCTGCTGCTCTCTTGTGTTGGTCCCAAGTAACGTTAACCTTTGCAGTGGCCAAGCAAAGCGACCCTCTGCGAACGGTGAGGTTCCCGGGACCTAGAGGTCCGCGGCCTCCGCGGGGGCGCACGGGGGCCACAGCGCAGAGGAGGGAAGAGGCCCCACCGGGAACCCGAGGGAGGTGCGGAGAAGGCGGCGAATAGGGATCATGTGTGTTCCTCGAATGTACAGCCCACATCTAAATGACACACGCTGTGGACAACCTATAAGAACAAGTAAGCGCAAATCCACCCGAACTCACCCCGTCTCTGCGCGCGTGCCTTCAACTAACTTTGGAGCTCAGAGACCCGCGCCGTCCCGCCCGCCCTCCGGAGCCTTCTCTTCCTCCGGGCAAGGATGGAGGCCCCCTCCAGCCGCTCAACTCTGCCGCCTGCGCCCAACCTCACCGCGCCCATCTTGCTGGGCTGGGGGCTCAACCTGACTTTGGGTCAGGGAGCCCCTGCCCCGGGGCTGCAGCTGCCGCCGTCCGGGCCACCCAGCCGCCGCGTCCGCCTGGCCTTCCTGGGGGTCATCCTGGTGGTGGCGGTGGCCGGCAATTCTGCGGTGCTGTGCCGCCTGTGTGGCGGCGGCGGGCCCTGGGCAGGTCCCAAGCGTCGGAAGATGGACTTCCTCCTGGTGCAGCTGGCCCTGGCTGACCTGTACGCGTGCGGGGGCACCGCGCTGTCGCAGATGGCCTGGGAGCTGCTGGGCGAGCCCCGCGCGGCCGCGGGCGACCTGACGTGCGGCGTCCTGCAGCTGCTGCAGGCCTCCGGCCGCGGCGCCTCCGCCCACCTGGTGCTGCTCATCGCCCTCGAGCGCCAGCGAGCCGTGCGCCGTCCGCAGGGCCGGCCGCTGCCCGCGCGCGCCCTGGCCGCCCTGGGCTGGCTGCTGGCGCTGCTGCTGGCGCTGCCCGCGGCCTTTGTGGCACGCGGGGGCACTTCCTCGCCAGCCCCCCGTGCCTGGCCCGGGGAGCGTCGCTGCTGTAGCATCTTCGCGGCCCTACCACACTGGCACCTGCAGGTCTACGCGCTCTACGAGGTTGTCGCGGGCTTCGCCGCGCCTGTCACGGTCATGGCCGTCGCTTGCGGCCGCCTGCTCTGCGTCTGGTGGCGACGCCGGGCCCAGGACCCCGCGGCTGCGGCGTCCCGGCCGGCGAGTCCCCGCCGAGCCCCCGCGCCCGACGCGCTGCCCCGCGCCAAGGTGCAGAGCCTGAAGATGAGCCTGGCGCTGGCGCTGCTCTTCGTGGGCAGCGAGCTGCCCTACTTTGCCGCCCGCCTCGCGGCCGCGTGGTCACCCAAACCCCCGGGTGACCAGGAGGCCGAGAGCTTGTCGGCGACCTTGCGCGTCGTGGGGGTGGCCAACAGTGCTCTCGACCCTTTCGTCTACTTGTTTTTCCAGGCCGGTGACGGCCGGCTCTGGCGGCGGCTGCGCAGGCGCCTGGGCGCTGTCTGCTGCTCGCAAGACTCAGTCGCTGAGGACAACGAGGGGCCCGGGGGTCCCCAGGCGCTGCACCGCCACCGCTGGCCGCACCCGCATTATCACCACGCTCGGCGGGAGCAGCTGGACCAGGGCTGCTTGCGCCCTCCCCCGCCGCGCCCCAGACCTCTGCCTTGTTCCTGCGAAAGCGCCTTCTAGGTGCCGGGTGCTCAGTGACGGGACGTCGCCGTGGAGTCGGCTCCCAGGGAACAGGTGGCCGGCCAGGGTCTTCCCAGATGACCTCTGAGAGAGCCACTGCAGCTGTCCTCCTCCACTACGTCTCCTGCTCGTGGTTACATTCTCCCAAACTTTTCTGACGCGTTTTCTTCCCTCCAGGGCCTCTCACATTCCCCCACTTGGAGACCAGAGAGCGAGCCCTTGGGAGGTTGAGAAACGGTCAAAGTTAGAATTATCTTTGCAATTTTTTTAATGCTATTATAGTGTTCTGGGTAAGGCCGTGCATTTTAGCTAAATTGCCAAACTTTCATTATTTCCCGTGTTTTCAGTTTTTATTTATTTTGAATCGTTCTTAAATCAAGTGTACCTTTGGGACCAGCAAGTTTGCCTTTTTTCCCAGGAGGAACTCCCCACATCATTTTTGCCTGGGAAGACTGAGAGGTGTACCAGTAATACTGTCAAAATGTAATCGTGCTGTCGCCTTAGAGCCACAGAGTGTTTGTTAAATAAAAACATTTCCCACAGAACAATTAGTACCTTTTTTAAAAAATATGATAATGTGTTTTTCCAGGAGAAAGTCAGTGTGGCCTTTATTTTCAGCCTAGCTTCTATTTCAGTATAAGCTGGGATTGTAGGACAGAAACAGGGAATCAGCTGGTTCGGTGCCAACCAGCGACTAACACTGCCACGTCGTGCCCAGACGAGACCTCGGAGTGCCAAGCGCCCAGCAAACCAAAGGGAAGCACCAAGGGGATGCAGGTGGGCAGGGTTCGCTGCCCCAGAGGGAGCCTTGGGAGAATTTACATCTAGGAAGGAAGCTGAAACCTTGGAGTGTTGCATACCTACATAAAACTTCCTTTAAAAAGATGAATTCAGTGTCTATTGGCGTAGGTTACAGAAAACAAGGTCAAGGTGCAGATTTGACTGGTAACCTTCTCCTAACTGTTCTTGATTCTAGAAAAGAAGTGGTAACACCTGTTAAGGATGTATCCTGTGTTTACAGGTGGCTCTGATGAGAGAATCTGAAGCGTTCTATTATGTTTCTTGTTTGTGCACAAATTCGAGAGTAAGATGCAGAAAGAGGAAGCAATTGGTTCAAACTGTTCTGTAGAGCAGTGCTCTCGGAGGTTCTTTATTTTGTGCACAGATTTATTCCCAATGTTTAACAATGCTTCATACATAGTAGGCACTTGGTATGTATTTGTTGAATAATCCATCGTGTGAGTTATTCATCATGATCAGGCAGAAAGGATAAGTAAAAGGTGTACAAAAAGAAATCTAAGCTTGGCTTACCTCCCTCCAAAATTTTGACAACAGATGTTTACAGTTACAAATTTTCCTTCCTTTCTTTTCTCCCCATCCTGCTGAGGATGCTGTGGTTTGCAAAACACTGGGAGTAAGTCAGTCAGAGAGTTCAGTCCTCATGAACCCAAGTCTGTGTTACAGCATTATTTTTCTATATTAATAAACATTTATTAACTTTATTTTACCCCAGGTAATATGCTAAGCATTGAAGATGAACAAGATATCTTTTCTCTCAAAGAACTGGTAGTCAAATGTAGGAAGCAATTAATCGGACAATGACACTGCAGTGTCATATATGTTTTACTATTCCAGGTAGGGAGCCAGGAGCAACTGAGAAGGAGCATCCGACAACCTGAAGGGACTGGGAGAGAATTAGGGAAGGCTCACCCAAAGAGGCTGAGTCGTAAAGTGACCCATCAGGTCCGGAAGGGGTGTTCTGGGCAATGGGAATAACATTTGTATAACATAGAGGAGATAGAACATAGCATGGTCAAGTAATGACAGTAATGCAAATGTCTAGTGTTAAGGGTGACAGTGGGGCCTGACATATTAGGATATGTGGTCAGAGAGGTTTGATCTGGACCCAGTGAAGACAGGTCTGAGTGCCAGGCCAAGAAAGCAAAAAGGAGTCTTAGAAGAATTTAATCAGGGTTAATCAAATTTGAATTTTGGAAAAGATATTTCAATGATGGCATGAGGGATCAACAAATTGGAAGAGTAGGAATGCTTGAGGCAGAAACTCAGAGTCCTCAAAATGCAATTAGAGTGTTCTCCACTGAGATAATGAATTTAAGGCAGCTGAATCAGGTTTTCTGTTACAGCTGACTTAAACTTACTGTCTCACATAAAGTCCAGTGATGGGCTGCTCCCAGGTTTGGTAAGTAGCTTAACTTCATAATTGAGGGCTATGATGGTTAATTTTATGTGACAACTTTACTGGGTTAAGTGATGCCCAGATAGTTGGTAAAAGCACTTCTGGGTGTACCAGAAGAGATTAACATTTGTATCAGTAGATTGAGTGAAGAAAACCAGTGTTGGGGAGTGTCATCCAATCTGTTGAGTGCTCACCCAAACAAAACAAAAGGGCAAGGGAAGTGCCAACGCACCATCTCTTCTTGTGCTGGGACACCCACCCTCTGCCCTGAGACCGAAGCTTCTGTTCTTGGACCTTCGTACTAGAAGAACTTCCACTTGCAGCAGCACCACCCCCGACCAGCTTCTCAGGTCTTCAGACTCTGAATAAATTATACCGCCAGCATTCCTAGTTTCCAGAATATGGCAGGACTTCTTGGTATCCATAAGCATATGAGACAATTCCCATAGTAAATCTCCTCTTATAACCTTGACTAATACAAGGACTTAGATCCTTTTCATCTTTTCATTCTACCGTCATGAGTAGAGCTGACACTCAGGCCAATTTCCCTTGAGGTCACAAAATGGCTGTTGCAATATCCAGCATCACATTCAAACATAACAAAGTCCAGAAGAAGAAAATTTTCTCTTTTTTGTACTCTTTATAAAAATGAAGAAACATTTCTCAGAAGTGCCCAACAGGCCATCCTGTATGGCTTGATAGCCACACCTTTATTATGTGTTCATATCTGGACCTATGCTTGCAAGGGAAATGGAGCCTCTGTGATTGGCTTGGACACGGAAGTGAGGGTATGACTTGCATGAGGATCTACAATAAAGACAGGGAAATGCTTGTTGGCACGACAAGACAAAACCTTTAAACAACTGCAAAAGTGTTAGAGATCAATTTTTACAATCTAATAGGAGGTTTCAGCTGATTGCCAGTTAGAAATTTTGAAAATTCTCCAGCTGACTTGAAAATATAGAATACCAACTCAAGTAGAGAATTCAAAAATCCAATTAGAGAGATTTTCTTCATAGATTTTTGTGGGAGATTTAGTTAAGCCCAATTTATACAGAAATGCTTCTCTTCTGTAAGTGAAGAACTTCCTCTCATTTTAACTAAATCTGAAACTTGAAAGTAGAATTAGGTGACTTGGTTCCCATCCCTAGAGGCATTTGTAGGTTAAAAAGTTTGAAGCATCCCCTCAGAATGTTCATCCCCATGCTGTTGACCCAGGAACCCACATTCCTGTAGGCAACCCAGAGATTCAGCTGTGTCCTCGTCAAGGAAGCCCCTGAAGGTAATTCAAATTTAGACTCTTCCTAGAGTAGAAAATGCCCTTCATGTCACACAGAAAGAGTAAATAAACAGGCTAGCCATGAAATTGCCCTCTCTGCTGGATATTTAGAAAGAATCAATGTGCCCCCATAAAATAGGGAAACACCACCCGTGCTCACTGAACATTCCTGTGGAGTCAGACTTCAACAAAGCTGCTGCACAGGGCCTGAGCTACAGGGCTTCAGGGCACTTTTATACAGATCAAAGTGTACATGTCACATCTTCATGGTGTGATCACATGAGTGTCAGACCAGCAATGTGGCAGTCCTGATTTTAATAGAACTTCAAAGACTAAATGCAAAGAATTTTGTATCTTTACAATAAGAACTCAATAGCATACAGCTAAAACAAGTAAACATTATCTGTGACATAATTTAATACAGAAAGTATGTAGGAAGTGTCCAAGATCATAGATAAACCACAACTAGTGATTGGCTGTAAGTTATATACTAAAAATAGAACAGGCTTGGTCATTTGTGGAAGAAAATATAGATTCTTAAAAAGTTTTTTCTAATCCCCTATCTAGGAAACATAGAAGAAGTTAGAAAATTTGAGGAGCTTTTTTTCTTTCTTTCTTTCTTTCTTTTTTTTTTTTTTTTTATAGAGACAGAGTATTACTTTATTGCCCTCAGTAGAGTGCTATGGCATCACAGCTCACAGCAACCTCCACCTCCTGGGCTTAGGCAATTCTCTTGCCTCAGCCTCCTGAGTAGCTGGGACTACAGGTGCCTGCCACAATGCCCAGTTAATTTTTGTTGCAGCTGTCATTGTTATTTAGCAGGCCTGGGCTGGGTTTGAACCTGCCACCCTCAGTATATGGAGCCAGTGCTCTACCCACTGAGCCATAGGCACTGCCTGAATCTAAGGCCTTACCACCCTGAACACGCCCAGTCTCGTCTGATCTTGGAAGCTTAGTAGGGTTTGGGCCTGGTTAGTACTTGGATGGGAGGAGCTTTTTTTCATTCCCAAAAATGTTCTATCTTAATCAAAGGGAGAATATTATAATAAAAATGAATTGCCTGGTTAAACTAAAAAGATATTTTGCTGAGTTGGTAGACAATATAACATAGTCAAAAGAGTATTCAGAGTCTAAACAGCTAAACTTGATTTTGATCTCTATACTTAGTAGTTGTGTGATTTTAGGCAGTTTGCTGAACATTTTTGAGTCTTGGTTTTCTCATCAATAAAATGGGGGTTATGTATTGTCTCCTTCATGGGATTAATGCTTGTGAAATACTCTATTGGATGAGGCTGGGAGAGTGCTGCTGATTTGTCTCTTTAGCCCCCTCAGTATGTGATACCTGTTGGAATTTTCTAACACTGGACTGTGAGAGATGAAAATCCACTTTAAGCAGAAGCTCTAAGAGAATAACTGTGGAAGATCAATGCAGCAATGGTGATGCTTGATCACAGGGAGCTGGGCCTTGTGGACTGCCTTCCCAGCATCCATTTCTCCTTGTCTAACAGCTCTGAGAACCTTACC